AGCTGCACAATAATATTCATTATTTAGTATTTACTGTTATATTCACATAGATCATCATGATGTTGTTTATTATATTGCTCTCTTTTTTTGCTTGTTTTCTCTCTTTCTTTCTCAACAGGTGATCCAGGTGATTCATAGATGTATTTTTTGTCTGTTTGTTTTGTTGTTTTTGCCCTTTATCCCCGTCCCTCTTCCCCGCTGTTTTTCTTTCCCTCTTTCTTTTCCCCAGTCATGTCTGTCCCGTGTGTAGAAAGTGAAAATAAAATAAAGTAAACAATAAAAGGTGAATCTAATGGACCAATACAGCAAGGCTGGGATGGTCCATTTGGTAAAATAAATCTGTTGAGCATCTTCGTCTTCAGACAATCATTCTGATGGCAAAGAGCCAAACAGGACAGGAGGGGAAAAAAACCTTTCATCTGAGTTTTTAAAGTTATGGATGAAGATCATTTTTGCCAACTTGCCGACTCTTCAGCATGAATTAATAACTGCTTTTACCCTCGGACATTATTACAAACAAATGTTTGTGTATTACCTCTGTGGAGTGAATGGTAGCTCAGTCAGTGGTAAACATGAATGAGCTGTACTCAACTTCCTGTCTTAGTGATCGTTTTATATGCACCATATGACATCTGCAGAGCCTCATGGTGTTTGTTTCTACTCCAGCACTTTACTCTCTTCATAGCGAACACTGAGCTGTACTTCCTTGTGTTGTGTGTGAGCAGAGGGACTTACTGTCCACAGGGCTGTGTATGGGGTAGGACTTTGTGAAGTTGTTGACACAGTGAATCAGCTGAGCACTGTGAGTCTGACAGTAGTCTTTGACAGCGCTGATCTGGGACACGGTGGGGGTCGAGTCGGTCCTGAAGATGGCCTGGCAGTACTCTCTGCAGGTGGTGTGACGACCTGCATAGCTGCAGCACGTAGAGCCCACTGCAGACACACACACATGCACACACAGGTTAAACAGTAAGAACAGCTGGCTGAGGTTACGAGTATCAAAGTATGCAGTGACTGTGCCAAGTGGGCCTGAGGTTTTCAAGCTCTGCCAAAATCCCAGTTGGTTACAGTCGGGGAAACAATACCATGACTTCCAAAGAAATGAAGAGTTTATCATTGTGATGGTGCTTTCTTTGTTATTTGTCACACCGTCTCAGATTCACAGATAAACTGGAACAGTGAGGACTCCATCCAGGACAATTCATCCAAGAGCAGAAGCACAGAGAAAAACAAGAAACGCAGATCTTACTCGCCTCAGGTCAGAGTTCATTATTCAGCATTAAGGAAGGCGCTGGGCAAAACTGGCATCAAGGAGTTCCAAGGAAAAAGCCACTGCTTACCAAAAAGTCCACACAGACTCATCTCACATTTGCCAAAAAACATTGTGACGATCCCCAACTTTTGATAAAATCTTCTGTGTGTTGTAAAGTCCCGATCCATCGGCATGAAACTAACACACCATTTCATAAACGCAAAGCACCAACAGACAAACATGGTGGGAGTGTGATGGTCTGGGGCTCTGCTTTGATGGAACCATATATCCTGAACCCAGACCTGAAGC